AGAGAGGTTTAACATTAGTTTTGATTAGACATTATACAGACTACAGTACTCAACGTACCACAAACATAGTGTCACACAGTTTTCAGATAAATTGCCTTTTAAGATAGTCCTACAATTGATTAATAATAGAACGAGCATGTGCAGAACCAGAGCGGTACTTCAAAAGATAAATATGTATCACATATGGAGGAGGAATACATTTATTACTTAGTAAACATTATGTACTTTATTCAGAGCCAACCGGTACCACCGGAGAATTAAGGAACACCTCATTTGATTATTTAATCGAATATATATTGCAAAATTTGGTGTCACAGACACTTTTTTTTTAATATACTGAAAAAGGAAGTTATAACACCATATGTTCCTATCTTAGCACTATTATTATATATCTTTGTTTATTAATATATTTGGTGTAGGGAGTTTGTCTATAATAAACAGTTTTTGAATATAATTAATTTAAAGTAACAAAACCTACCGTATTTGGGGATAGCTTTTACATTTCCACTGAAGCCCCTACGAGTCACACTTCCATCAGTTGTAAAACTCAGCCGCATCACGTTATCAGTCGATATAACACTAATAGGGTTGTAAGAACCAGTTACTGTTTCGAAAACATGACCGTCCCCATTTCGAATATACAGGTTGTCGTAGTAACTTTCTATTTCAACATCATACAATGTTAATATCAGTGTATAGTTCTCTGGTGCAGTAAACTCCCAAGAACAGTTTAAGTTGTCCTCATAGTTACGCGGGTAGTTCACAGACTCTATCATCCTATGTTCCTCTGGTGCCAAACGTTCATATACCGGCAAACACACTTCATGTAATAAACAAAAATATTAATTAGATCGTTACTATGGTAACCTACTCTCGATTAAGAGCCGACAGGCAGTCTAGACGATTAGAGGTGTGAAAAGTAGAAGGTCTGGGCTGCAAATTCTTGAAGCGATTATTTTCACTCCCGCAAAATTGTTTTCGGAATTTTAATGATTATATATTGCATTGCCGCAAAGCAGGCCCGTATGCAGGATATTTATTGGGTGAGTGCGAATTTGTGGATAGTGGACCATAATGGCTAGGGGACCGCAGATTCCTTCTGGGGGACCGCAGATTCCTGCTGGGTCGAGTGGGCGGAGGTCCTCGCGATCAGACATTTTTGATAATTTTAGGTCGTAATTGATTCTGAAGATGCAATATCAACAGTATTAAACGGGGTTTTCAGTGACAGATTCAGGAAATGAAGGGGTGAGAGGAAAGGGAGGGATGAACCATGGAGGGTTCATAGCTCAGCCCCCATGGTTAAGGGTGAAGTAAGTAAATATATAATTATGGTACCCCTGATGGCCGGAAATGACACTCTAAGACTCTAAGATTCGTTAATAATTCGAGGTCGAGTGAAATAAATCCATATTGGACATACACATTGCCTAGATATGTAACGTGCCACTTTCAACCACGCGGTGTTTCGAATTTTTCATTGCATGTGTCAACATAGGCGTACGGTATACTATTAAAACTTAAATGACCAGGCCTGCATAAAATTATAGCACAATGTAAATGAAACATTGTTATATTTAAACGTGAAAGAAATAATGTAGGCCTAGTGCGCAATAAAAACAAGCCCATATAATCATTGGGCATTGAAAATACTAAATTTACCATAAATGATGATAAAAAAAAAATTAATGCAAATTGCGAATACGAACGAATAATTAAAAGCGCTTTACGTCGAGGATGAAATGGGTAGCCGTAAAAAATACAGGCCCTATCAAATCGAGAACGCATAAAATAAGCCTATACTGATCTAATTGGGAAAAAGATAGGGAAACAATTAATCCATTTGTTGTTGTTTTGAGGCAAATAACGCGAGCGCTGCAGGTTTTTCGTGAAGCGCTTGCACATCCGCAACTTGTAATCAGTGGCGGATCCAGGAATTCAAAAAAAAAAAAAATAGAGGAGGCCAAGGGAAGGACTTTCACAGGAGGGAGTCGATAACACCTTAACCCCACGTGGTTGGGGCTGAGGTAAGAACATGATGATGACACCTCTAGATGGCTGGAAATGGCACTCAGTAAAGGAGAATACATTTAATTTTAGTGACACCTAGAAAGAAGATGAGTTTGTACGCCTCGTAAGTGGAGGGAAAAAGCACTCAACTTCTTCAAAAAGCGTTTTTTTTTTTTTTTTTTATAAATACACTTAAAAGTTTTTGCTTGATCAAGCAGTTTTGGGGGATGGATTTCCGAAATATGCGAGAATGTGTCTTGAATTTTGTACCCCTGAAAATGTGGATATTTGAAAATTTGGGTTGTGGAGGGGAGGAGGTGCGTACGCAACCGTCGCACAACCCCCCCCCCCCCCCCCTTCCGCGTACCCGGTCCTGCAGAGGTTTGAGAGTTTATTTTGCAATAAATTTATTTTAGTTTATAATAGTTTATAATAGTAACTTAGGCCGAGAACTTGAAGAGTTTCTACAATTTCATTGATGCAACTTAAATTTGAAACAGTGCGTATCAGCGGTGGGCGAGGGACGCACGTTCCACAAATAAAACTCACTCCCCACCCCAACCCTCCGCTTTCCCTCCTCCACTGGAAATTTTCGAAGCAAAAAAACTTAGTATCGAGTCACCTCAAATTCCTTTATTTTAGCAGCTAGAAGCCCTTTACGTTATTATTGACTTTACGAATTCACCTTACTCCCCATGCCACCATTCCCCTCCCATTACAGTACTAGATGTCAAGCATGATTTTGATACGATGATAAGAGTACTATTTAGTCATACAGAGTGGTTATTCATTTGTACGCCTGCCTAAAATCATGTTAAATTTCATGTGCAAATGACAGCCCTATGTGATATTTAGCATTTGAGTGGTTACGGTATTCTAATTTTGTTTTTACATAATATCCTATAGTAACAATTTTCCAAAAAATTATATTTTATAGAGCCTGTGATCATGTTTGAAATGAATACGCACGATCCTTTCAAAACAGCGGTATGCTGAAATTTTAACCAACACAATACATAATTCTGTTTTCTAATAGATGCGTGTGTTTATTTTGATAGTTTTGCTACCGTTTCGGCCTGCTTAAAGCACTTTATAGGTCGGTTTCTTCACCAGTTTGCATAATTTATAGGTCATAGGCCTACTGTGATTAATTTGAATTTGGTGAGGTATTCTAAGTTTGGATCAATTATGCATGGATTGATGTAAAAAGGAAAATCAATTGCAACACCACAATTGACTATACAACAATATGTATACACGTACACGCAAAGTACACAAACTTGGCGGCATGTTCTAAAAATAAGTTATTATGTAGTTTCGAATGTGTATATCTATGAATTTATAGCTATTGATTAGGTTACAGTATTCAGTTACTGTTTAACATGAAGTAGCTGAATACCAAATTATTTGCAGACGATAATGTAAGCCATATAAATATTTGTTAAACTTGACATTCGATACCGTACCTACAGTATTCCTTGAAGCTAAGGGGCTATACTTTCATTCCATGCCCATAATTTTTATTCTTCATTTTCGCGGCGCTATTTTATTTAAAATATGAAGCGCGCAGAGGCTTTGCATTGTGCGTTATAAGCTTTGTATTGCTACACAGTATATATACTACTACACAGTATGAACTGAGCAACAAAGTGAGTTTTAGTAGGCCCCTACTCCATATACGCATCAACACAATTCAGATAATAGGCATATTTTAAAGCAAGTTGTTTGCAATATATAATTTATTTTATCTGAAGAAAACTACAGTTTAACATCCGGAATTTAGATTAGGCTTTAAAGTTATTCAACGAACGACGGCGATATACTGAAGAATGTTGTAAACGATCTTTGACATTAAAACACCGTATCCCAATTGCAACAATAAATTTATTATTTATACAGTACCGGTACTGTATACGGAAATAATTATTCATTCGTATACCCATTTGTGCCACGCCTGTTCAAGGTTATACATTCTTTGATCAATTTTACGGTGAACTGGTCCAGAAGAATCCGCGGCATGCTATTTGCAGAACACCATTTATCGTCTATATTATGCCTATTATAGTAATAGCATGCTAATGGGTAATGACTGTTCCCTGGTCTTGATAGATATTATTCATTAATATGCCTTTGCTAATAAAACG